TTCGGGATTTCGACCGCGGTCCCGGACTCTCCGAAGTCGGACGCGGACCCCGCGACGGGAGCCGCGATCTCGCGGTTTCGGGTGGGGGTGGGGGAGGGCGCGAAAAAAAATTTTTTTTTTTTCCCGGATTTCGACCGCGGCGTGGGACTCTCCGAAGTCGGACGGGGGCCCCGCGACGGGAGCCGCGATATCGCGGTTTCGGGTGGGGGTGGGGGAGGGCGCGAAAAAAATTTTTTTTTTTTTTCCGGATTTCGACCGCGGCGTGGGACTCTCCGAAGTCGGACGCGGACCCCGCGACGGGAGCCGCGATCTCGCGGTTTCGGGTGGGGGTGGGGGAGGGCGCGAAAAAAAATTTTTTTTTTTTTCCGGATTTCGACCCCCGTCCCGGACTCTCCGAAGTCGGACGGGGGCCCCGCGACGGGAGCCGCGATATCGCGGTTTCGGGTGGGGGTGGGGGAGGGCGCGAAAAAAATTTTTTTTTTTTTTCCGGATTTCGACCGCGGTCCCGGACTCTCCGACGTCGGACGCGGACCCCGCGACGGGAGCCGCGATATCGCGGTTTCGGGTGGGGGTGGGGGAGGGCGCGAAAAAAAATTTTTTTTTTTTTTTCCGGATTTCGACCGCCGTCCCGGACTCTCCGAATTTCGCTCAACCTCTCCCCTCACCCGCGCCTTGCCCCGAGTTCCGGGGCGAGCTGTGGGTGGGGGATGAAATGAATTTTTTTTTTCTTTTCTTTTACTTCATCTTTTATTTAAAATTTTCTTTTCCTTTTTTTTATTTATTTATTTTTTTTTTTTTTTTTCCCAGTTAAACAGCAGCCCCGGAAAAAATGTCATTCATCCCCGAGAGAGATCTTTTTCGACGGCCAGAGCGGAAACGGGTGAGTCGAGAATTCGCGAGCGTGAAGAAACTGAACAGAAATTTGTACATGAAACAATAAACCAAGGCCAAAACCTAAACCCAAACCAAAACCAAAACCGGAAAAAAAAAAAAAAAAAACCAAACTTAAAACCCAAACCGAAACCGGAATAAAAAATAACCAAACTTAAAACCAAAATCAAAACCGGAAAAAAAAAAAAAAAAAAAAAAAACCCAAACCGAAACCGGAAAAAAAAGAATACCCAAACCGAAAAAAAAAAAATTCCCTACTTAAAAACAAAACCGGGGGGAAAAAAAAAAGGAAAAAAAAATAACCGAACTCAAAACCAAAACCGGAAAAAAAAACCGAAAAAAAAACCAAACTTAAAAACAAAACCGAAACCGGAAAAAAAAAACCAATCCGAAAAAAAAAAAAACCAAACTTAAAACCGAAACCGGGGAAAAAAATAACCAAATTTAAAACCGAAACCGGGAAAAAAAAAAAAAAACCGAAAAAAACAGAAAAAAAAACCAAACTTAAAAACACAACCGAAACCGGGGGAAAAAAAAATTGAACTGAACATTAATCGAATCAAACGAATGAGAAATCGAATGCGGACGAATGTAATTGGACGAATGTGATCGAACGAATGTTTCGTCATTTAGTTTAGTGTTATCGGATTCGATTAAATTGAATTCAACGAAAAAAAAAAAAAAATTTTTTTAAATTTAATTTTTAATTAATTGTTAATTTGGTTTTGGTTTTGGATTCCGATTTTAAATATCGATTTCGATTCCGGTTTCGATTTTGATTTTAATTTTTGATTTCGGTTTTGATTTTGATTTCGATTTTAATTTTTGATTTAGGTTTGATTTTGGATTCGGATTCGGATTCCGATTTTAAATTTCGATTTCGATTTTGATTTTGGATTCCGATTCCGATTTTAAATTTCGATTTTGATTTCGGATTCGGATTTCGATTTTAAATTTCGATTTCGATTTTGGATTCCGATTTTAAATATCGTTTTCGATTCCGATTTCGATATCGATATGGATTTCGATTCCGATTTCGATTTTAATTTTTGATTTCGGTTTTGATTTCGGATTCCGATTCCGATTTTAAATTCCGATTTCGATTTCGATTTTAATTTTTGATTTCGGTTTTGATTTTGGATTCCGATTTTAAATATCGATTTCGATTTTAATTTTTGATTTCGATTTTGATTTTGATTTCGATTTTAATTTTTGATTTAGGTTTTGATTTTGATTTCGATTTTAATTTTTGACTTAGGTTTTGATTTTGGATTCGGATTCCGACTTTAATTTTTGATTTAGGTTTTGATTTTGGATTCCGATTCCGTTTCCGTTTCCGACTTCAAATTTTGATTTTGAAAATAAAAGCGGAAATGAAAAAGGATTGGAATTGAAAGAACGGAAGTGATTTTTTTTTTATTTTCTATTTTAAATATTATCATTATTAATATTATTGTTATTAATTTTTAATGATATTTCATGTTTCTTTGTATCGTGTCCTTATTTATTTATTTATTTAATTTGCTTGATTTTTTTTTTTAGTAAAATACCTCGTTTTTACGGAATGCCTCTTATTCGAATAAGGGGGAGGAGAAACAGGGGTGTACCGATCAAACGACGCACGCACGCAAGACGAGCAACAAGGGCACAATTGCACCGAGGGAACGAACACGAAGAAAAAAAAAGTCCGGGGATCGAGCGCGTGAGCGAGCGCGAGAGCTAGACCGAGACCGAGAGCGTACGGTAAAAACTGAACGTGCGTCGAGATTCGATCAGTGCAACAGGGGCACAATTGCACAGAGGGAACGAACACGAAGAAAAAAAAAGTCCGGGGATCGAGCGCGAGAGCGAGAGCGAGCGCGCATAAATAAAAACTGGACGTGCGTCGAGATTCGATCAGTGCAACAGGGGCACAATTGCACAGAGGGAACGAACACGAAGAAAAAAAAAGTCCGGGGATCGAGCGCGAGACCGAGAGCGTACGGTAAAAACTCGACGTGCGTCGAGATTCGATTAGTGCAACAGGGGCACAATTGCACAGAGGGAACGAACACGAAGAAAAAAAAAGTCCGGGGATCGAGCGCGTGAGCGAGCGCGAGAGCTAGACCGAGACCGAGAGCGTACGGTAAAAACTGAACGTGCGTCGAGATTCGATCAGTGCAACAGGGGCACAATTGCACAGAGGGAACGAACACGAAGAAAAAAAAAGTCCGGGGATCGAGCGCGTGAGCGAGCGCGAGAGCTAGACCGAGACCGAGAGCGTACGGTAAAAACTGAACGTGCGTCGAGATTCGATCAGTGCAACAGAGGCACAATTGCACCGAGGGAACGAACACGAAGAAAAAAAAAGTCCGGGGATCGAGCGCGTGAGCGAGCGGAAGCTAGACCGAGACCGAGAGCGTACGGTAAAAACTCGACGTGCGTCGAGATTCGATTAGTGCAACAGGGGCACAATTGCACCGAGGGAACGAACACGAAGAAAAAAAAAGTCCGGGGATCGAGCGCGAGAGCGAGACCGAGTGCGCATAAATAAAAATTCGACGTGCGTCGAGATTCGATTAGTGCAACAGGGGCACAATTGCACCGAGGGAACGAACACGAAGAAAAAAAAAATGCGCGGGGATCGAGCGCGAGACCGAGACCGAGAGCGTACGGTAAAAACTCAACGTGCGTCGAGATTCGATTAGTGCAACAGGGGCACAAGTGCACAGAGGGAACGAACACGACGAAAAAAAAAAAGCGCGGGGAAGGAAGATGAGAAATATCGTTTCTTCAGAGATTCCATCTCCTTTTATATGCGTCTCATTCATAGTTACTTTCAACGCAATAAAAGCTATATCAATGAGCATAATAAAAATACAAAGGAAAAGGACCGTTTGAAAGGTTCATTTTATTTTGGTACCCATTGTCATTATTTTTGGTGGTGTTTATAACGTCTATAAACGTTGGCATGAATAAATTAAGGATGGGATCATAATTATATATTGAAATAATATGTAAATAATGAAAAGTCTCACCCCATAATAATTCCTATGTGTGCTATGCCAATAAGATTTACAATAAGGATAAAATTGTTTAAGACATTTATTTAATAAGAATTTTGCTTTGCTTGAAATTTTTGACACTAAAAAAAAAAAAAAAAAAAAAAAAAAATTTCAGATAAATTAGAATGAAATTAATAATTTAGAAAATTATTTAAATACGAAAATAGAGATAAATAATTAAATTTAGTAACGTAAAGTATGTGAAATAATTAAAATGTTAAGTAAATTAATTTAATAGAGTGAATTGATTTATTGACTAGGGTAAATATAGAAGAATAAAATAGGCAAATAAAATTTTTTTTTTAAAAAAAAAAAAAAAAAAGTGACTAAATATAAATTAAAATATGAAGATATAAGGAAATAATTAGAATATAAAACAAGAAAATAATTGCATGAAGAATGAATAAATTGAAGTGAGGTGGGCGTCGGGATAGGAGTAAATGGGAAACAAGTCAGATTAATGAAATTCAAAAAAAAATAAAATAAAATATAAAATTACTAAAGTAAAAAATATTAAATAAAATGAAAATAATTAGGATTTTAAATTATAAAAGAAATAATTAAATTATTAGGATAAATGCATAAGATGAATTAAATAAGAAATACGCCCATATGAAAATTTTATAAAATAATAATAATAAACTATACAAAAAAAAACCTACCTTATCCGGCTCGCAAATTGTTGAATATTGAGGTTCGCATTCTTTTATTCCGTCCGTCCTTCAATACTTCATTTTTAGCCCCGCCCTATCCGTCGCATACAGACGTCCGAAACTCACTAGAAATCGCATGTATACCTGAATTTTTTTTTTATCCGTATTTAACGTTTAATGAGCCTTCGACCTGACCTAACGTAAACTAATGAGAATTTTATAAAACGAAAAAAAAATAATAATAAATAAAATAAAACAACAAGCAAAGAAATAATTATATCTATATTTTTGTTTATTGACATTTAAAAATTTTTTTATTTTTCGCACTTTATTTTAACATAGTATTGTTATGTGTAAATAATGGAATTAAAAATAATAGTAATAATAATTTAATTACAAAAAAAAAGAAAAACTAAATTTCGAATCTCATTTTTCTTTTTTTCAAAGGCGCAGCCTCTGAAATCATCGCTTTCTGAATGTTTTTAACTTTCTTTGTCAACAAATCCACTTCTTCTTTGACTAGAATTGCTTTTTTCAATGCATTTTCCATGTTAATGTGACATTTTTCTTGAACGTCTTCTGGAGGTTCTAATGCCGATTTTATTATTTTTTGCACTTGTCTCGGAGAATAAGTTTTATTGAGTTTTACAAATATTAGTGTTTCCATGTCTTGAACTCTAGTTTGAACGAATTTCAATTTTTTCCTAATTTTATAAATCTCATCCATTAAACTCCAATTCATCTGAAAATGAAAACATCAAATACAATTTACAAAAAAAAAAAAAAACTCGAATAATTTATAGTAATATTAATACATACTTCCATGTAATTCATTCCTTCTCCGTAGTTCACATATTTGCTAACTTTGAGCTCTTTTTCTAGAGACGTTACAATATCTTGCAGGTAATTTTTTTGTCGTTGTAGTTCAAAAATACACTCTTGATCACCCAAACGAGCTTTTTTAAAATCTTTTTCTGTTATATATTTGAAATAAAGTTTCTTAAAACAAAATAACATAAATAATAACAACTAGTTAATTAATTTTATCATAAGAGAATGAACACAATTATTATATTAAAAATAATTTTAAACACATTACGACCAATGATTATTTTCATGAAAATTAATTAATTTTTTATTTGACAATATTAAACACATATACAGTAATATACAAAAAATTTTTTTTCTTGATTTTTAACGTTTGAATATTTTAAAAGACTTTGCCCACAGTCAAACTAACGTTTTACTCATTCGTTTCTGATGAAAGTAATCGTTTAAGTACTCGCATAACGAACCTAAATTTAAACGATATTAAAATGCTAAAGAAATACTTAAAATTCTTAGATTTATAGATTTAAAATTTAAAAAGTAAAGCAGAAAAACAAGAAAAAAAAAATTATGCGAAAGAAGAGATAATTGTAAAACCATAAAACCTTTTGTGATTCTTTTATGCATCACTCATGTACTCATGTAGAAAACAAGACTCATTGAAGAGGATAAACAGATAGTATGATATATTATATGAACAAAAAAAAAAGAAACGAAGAAAAACTTAAAAAAAGAAGCATATAAGTAGTATGAAAAAAAGGTCACATCCGTTTACTTATTAATATTTGAAATTTTTTTCTTTTCTTTACCATTCGCCCCTATTAAAATTTAAAAGTAACTTTCTTTTTGTTTTTTCTTTTTTCACTTACATAGGGACAACATATAAAAACTGTTTTTAATATTGTAATAAAGTAGAATTTTTTTTGTTTCATGTAAAAAACAAAAAAAGTTAAAATTTTATATATGCAATTCATAGGCTTAAAATTTACGCATGGTTTAGAGAACTCATTTTGTAAAATGGCAAAGATTATAATTTTTTTTTTTGCAATAAATAAATAAATATATATATATATATAGTAAACCAAAATAAATTTATAAGATAGCAAAACGAGAATGTGATTTTCACAACTCTTGATCCTGGGTACTTCACATATTTTATTGTCACCCAAACTCAAACTCGTTCTCATCGAATAGCACAGACTCAGAAAGACATACAAAAAAATAATTGATGCGGTGCTATTTATTTTAACAAAAATTTAGTTTAGTTTATCAAAACCTAATGAACCTATGAACCGATATTATACATCCTCGAAATCGAAAGAGTCGGATGAAAACTTATAAATAATAATAAAAGGTGGCAAACTGCAACAAGGACATTACACTTGTCTTGATTAAATAATAAAGAAACACGCTTAAGATAATATTGAGGATGAGTCAATGATAGCGTGAGCTGTGGGACAAAATAACGAAGAAGATGATATCAACTGTTGAAATCAATGAATAGCATTATTACTAAAAATGATGTATTGAATTTATGTATGTCCTAAACAAACCAAGTGTATAATCCGGCATACTCAAACGTATGTATATATATATGTATGTATGTATGTATACAACGTATTTCGAGAGATTCCTTGAGTGTAAGTGTCTTGAATGTCTTTCACCTTTTCGTTGTAAACGGTTTCCGTATGACGCAATTGATATGCATGCTCCATTTCCAATTCGTACGTTCTTTGAGTGAGATCTCCAATGGAACTAAGTTTCCCTTCTAAATCAGTCTTACTTATGAGAATTTCATTGAAATACGTAAAATTTTTGTCGTGTACTATGATTTTATCTTCTGCATTGGTCACGTCCCATATGCAAATAGCTCCATATTGAGAACAACTTATGAATGTGGTATCTTCAAGACTTAATTCCATCTATAAATTAAATTTTAATACAAATTATTAAAATTATTCTTTTAAACATTTCAATTGGTTAAAGTCATGCTATACCTGCGTCACAGCCGAACTGTGAAGTTTTTGAAGAATAATTTCAGGAGGTTTCTCAATAGGAAATTTCACTGATGCAACCGTTCCCGTTCCAGCAGAAACGAACATCATCAAATTGGATCGCGATAAAACAATGTTTTTTATGTTGTTCAAATTCAAATTAATCGATCGAGCAATCTGTCAAGTAAATAATTTTTTCGTTATAAAATTCAATTTAAAACGAAACGTTTTAATTAAATTACGTTTTTTTTTTTTTTTTTTTTTTTTTCATTTGATTTGAGTTATAAAAATAAATTATAAAAAATTTAAAGTTAAAAAAATTAGAATTTTTTCCCTGATGAATTATATTCCGACTCTTTATATAGACTAAAGGACGTATAATGTGCGATTTCAATTTTAATTTTTTTAACAAGAACCTCAATCACAATTAAATGTTGTCGTAAGTTGAAGGTTACTAGTTTAAAAAAAATAATTTTTTACGTTAAATCCTCGAATTTCCTTGATTGAACCATCAGAGGACACGGCGTAAATAGTACTTCCATCGGTGGTTACGGCAATATCGTAATAAGAAAATCCTTTATTGACTATTTCACCGCTTCTCTTGTAATTCGTGATATCCCATTCGTAAATGGCCCCGTCGAGACCGCAAAATGTTAATTTCTTATCATCTGATATCCATTGCAAAGATTTAATCTTAAATAAGAATGCAAAAATCAAAATTAAAAAAAAAAAAAAATGTTCAACAAAATGTAATTTAAGTTTAATTTTTTTGAATTTTTCTGATCGTATTAAATAGTTAATTTTTTTTTTTTTTTGTTTAAATTTGGTCGAAATTGGTATTTGTTACCATTATTATTTCTTTCTAATCAATTTTCAATTTTATTTTTGCAAAGTGAAAAAAAAAAATTTAATTGGTTGTCGCTTTTATGACGGTGTAAATGTTTTAACAATCAAATTGTTAGCGACAATTTCACTTAAAATTATTGTTAACAATAAATGTTTTTTAGCTAAATGATATTTATACACGGACTAGCACTTTGCATTTTCAATCAAATTTTAAAAAGGTAGATAGTTACCAATGCACTGTGACCTGTTAAAGTAGCCAATATTTGAAAAGTAATGACGCTGATTATTTGAATTGCGTTTCTGTTTACTGCAGCTAATAAATGACCACATATACTAAACGCCGATTTGGGACATTCTCGGATTGGAATTTCTTTGCTAACTTGTAAATCGTCTATTAAAATAGTCATAAACCTTAGTTTGTCTGAGAATCCAATAGCCGCATACAGTCCTAAAAAAAAAAAAAAATTTTTTTTTTTAAATTAAAGTATTTTAATTTAAATGTCAAAAAAAAAAAAAAAAAAAAACAAATACTACCCGTGGGATGTAACGATATGCTGTGAACATCTTCTTGGTATTGTTTTGTCATTTCATTTTCATGTTTCAAATAGTTCCATATTCTTACCGTTCTGTCTAGCGTACCGAAAGTCATAAAAATCGGTTTCCAATAGCACAAGGCCAAATCTCCGATCGGTCCGGTATGAAACGATATATCAAAGTGTCGGAAAGGTACTTTCCCTGCCTGTAAAAAATAATAAAAATAATTACAAAAGAAATCAATTTAAATTATGCAGCGGAAAAATCATTGTGAAATATTACTTTCAAGAGTATAAAATCAATTAAAAAGACATACAATATCCATTTCTGGTCCTCATAGTTTCACATCCGTAAAGTTGGCTACGCCGAATTGCCGCCATCAATTTGGATTCAGTCTTATTGATGGCTATATGAAGGACGACACTTATACGAAATAATGGATAAAGATTTTCGGAAAGTTCAAACCGACTTTATACGTTTCTCTTCTTGTATTTATGACTTGATATTTTTTCGAAAAAATGTACAAGTCCAGGGCGGCAAGAAAAAGCAAAACCGTTGCTCACAGTTGTCAAAGCTCTCACTGTCAAATCCGTTTCATTTTTGCTCTCTAATTCTTGTGATCTTTCTAAAACCATCGCGGAAGTTAGTAATTATTATTTTATTATGTTAGTAATTATTTCTTCGAATTTACTGAATGCTTCTCGTTCTTGGTTGTACCATTAGAAATCTTGATACTTTTTAAAAACTTGGATTGATGATTTCATGATTTTGGCAAAATTTTTTAATGAAACTTTGACAGTTTCCAGTTAAACCTAAAAACGATTTTACATCTTTCACATTTTTCAGAAATGAAAATGAATTTATGCCTTGTATTTTGTCTGGATTTAGTTTGACGTCAACGTCTCTGATTGTGCGTCCCAAACAAATGATTTCTCTTCTAAGAAATACACATTTGTCAGGCTGCAATTTTAGATTATTCTAAAGAAAATACATTTTTTTATTTTGTGTTTTTTGATACTGCTAGCACTGATAAAAATATCATCAAAATAAACAAAGCACTGTATAATTCCTGTAAACCAGATAATACAGTATTCATTAATCGTTGGAAAGTGGCTGGAGCATTTATTCGTAATGCACAAAAGGAGTTGTGAATCCTGTTTTCATAACTGTCAGAGTCTTCCCTGTGAAAGAGGTTGGTGAAAACCAAAAATGCTAAATCCAAAGTTGTATAATATTTCGAATGTCCTAATTGGTTTAGGATCTCTTCGATGTTTGGAATGGGATATTTGTCATTTGTTGTAACGTCGTTTTATTTCCCGTAGTCTATAACTATATTTCACCTCTCTATTTCTTTTGGAGCATCAGATATCTTCTGTACTACTCATAAAGGAGAAAACCTAAAAGAAGGCTTCAAAATTAAGAATTTTTCTTACCTGTTTATCAACTGTTTTTTTATGAATTTCGGGATGGCCACGTGATTCAGTACAAATAGGATTTTCATTGGTAACATGCTTGATTGCTTCTGTCATGCTTAAATAATCCCTTGTTTAATGAAATATGTCGCAATAAGTTTCGCAGATTTTGATTATTCCTTTTCTTTCTTCCTCATTAGAATGTTCTAACCTCAAATGTTTACTTAATAATGATTTCCGTTTGTATCGTGGTTCTAGACTCTACTTCAATAATTGTTACTATTTTTGTTTATAACGTCTACAAACGTGAAAATACATACAGTCAATAATTTTTTTTATTTTTAAGCGTCGATGAGTTCTTAAAAAAAAAAAAAACACGTTCGTCACAAGAAAGAATTAGAAATCATTAAAAGCACATTTCTTTAAGACGTACCTTTAACAAACATTTATTTAACGGTCACTTTAAACTGAATTTTCAAATTATCTAGTAAGAGCGCTTTGAATTTGTGCAACTCTTTCTAATTTTTCAAAATATTTACGGGCATTTTTGATCAGAGTAACAGCTAATTCTACAATTAAAAAAAAATAAAATAAATAATAATAATAATAATAATAATGATTTTCAGTAAAACTAACATATTCCAGAATCAGACATAATAACCATTACATAATGTGTTGAATGTGAAAGCATCAATGAAACAAAGTCGCTGTTGTTTACCTTCGTGCTGTGAAATTGAGCAGCAAGACAACTGAAATTAAAATTAAACATTTTTTTTCTGAAAAAAAAAAAAAATAATAATAAATAAAACTAACTAAGTAAAATAGTTAAGTAGATATATATATTTTTTTCTCTTACCTGCAGCTCAATTTGAATTGTTTAATTATGTTTGACACTTTTTCGAACCTGTGAACATATCTTCTGTGCTGCCTTCATTCACAACGAGAAAAGACGAGAAATATATCTTTTTCAAAGAGTAAAACTTCATTTGCGTCTAATACATTAGCAAATTCATTTAAACTTTGCTCTAATTCTACCAAGCCTAAAAAATATTTGAACTAAATCAAGATTGTGTAAGCTATTTGAAAAAAATGATTTTGCATCAATGCTGCTTATGACATATTAAATAACATCTTATTTTTTTATTTTGTGAATGAATAAATTTTTCCTTTTTTCTTTAAAAGTAAGCAAACAACTTACATTTTGCTAATGATTTACACAAAATTAAATATATAATTTTATACTATAAAATTATATATTTTAATTATAATTATTAATATATTTAATATAATATTATATATTATAATTTTTCTCAAAATGTCACACTTCTTATTTTATTTCGATATTACAATTATTTCCCTTTTTTTTAAGTATAAATTTTTGTACTCACTCTGTTTTGTCCTGTATGGAGTTCCCAAAGCAAGTACATTGCAAAAGCTTTGATAGCCTTTTGAGATCTTCATCATGTTCCTAAAATATCTGTAAGAAAAGAAAAACATGTATTTTAATTTGAAGTTTTTTCAAGGTTTAGCTTTCATAAAAAAAATTTTGAAGATAATCAAACATTCACACATGTATATATTACCTGAGCATCGTGAAATTCTCCAAGATTTCTAGAGTATGGAATGAAGTTTAAATATTTAAATAAAAGATTTGCAAGATTAACTGTTAAAATTTATGCTATAATTATAATTTGTTTACCAAATAAATTGTGTAAATTTTTTCAGCCTATTTCTACTATTTGTTGTTGAATGATTATTTAGTTAAATTCTTTTGATTTCTAATTCATTTTTTTTTTTTTTTTTTTTTTTTCAAATTTAAAATTATGCTTTTTTTGAATGAAAAATAAAAGAAAAAAAAAGTTCATAACTACTTTTTTTTTAACAAATAATAAAAAAAAGGGGGATATTTTAACCTGGTTGTATTTAATTGTCAATCGACAAAATTAATAATCCAGATTGTTGTCTTATTTAACTCTTTTGGAAATAAATAAGCACAAAATAGGCATGAAAAGAAGAAAGAAATAACTCATTTTCATGTCTATTGTCATTACTGTATATTAACTCTTATTTATTAAACTAATGAAGACAAACAATAAACGCAAATTACTCTATGAATGACAAAAAAAAAAAAAAAAAAAAACTGTATGTGGTAAGTTTTAATTATAATCTGACAAGTTATCGATTACATATTTGTAACATTGAATCCTTTTTAATTGTAATCATATTATTATTAATAATTTTTAAGTTAGAACTGACATTGGTTGACTGCCATCTAAAAAAAAACATTCATTTTCTAAATGGTAAAAAAATTTTAACAGATTAGAAGTAAATAAAAAAATAAAGTATAGTATTAAACAAACAGATTCAAATATCGTTTTAAAAAAAAAAAAATTATAATAATATCAAAGTAAGAATAAATAATGATAATTAATTTTAACTATTCCTAGTAATTTCGGCTGAAACTAACGAATTTAAAATAGTCACAGATAAAAACCTAAAGAAAAACTCAATTTTATCGGCGTCGAACAGTTTTCTTACACGAAGGTAAAATAATAAAATGTACAATATTAAGTTGATCGCTATTTGAAAGTGATTAAAATTTTTCTAATCCATTTCTGTACCAAACGAGAGAGAATTTTTTAATATTACCTTTAATTTTTCATTTTGAATTGTTTTCAAGTTTGCATTTGTATATTTACGCGACATAATGACACGTCATACGACGTGTCAGCAGATCGTTTAAAGTATGAATTTAACGTCTTATTTATGTAATCTACAGGAATTATTATTTTTATGATGGAAATAAGTAAAGCTCAGGTTATAGATTTTGACAAAATATGCCGGTTTTGTTTAATTGAAAAGCCAATTTTGAAAGATATTTTTGAAACAAACGATGACAGTAACTGTTTCACAATCGATCAAAAAATTATGGCCTGCACATCCATTGCTGTAAGTATTCATTATTTGATTATGAGAAATTTGATTATTAGAGAAAACAAGACTTATTTCAGTTAAACGAAAATGATGGACTTCCGAAGAGAATCTGTAATAAATGTTTGCACGACCTTAATGTTGCATTCGACTTTCGTTTTCAATCTGAAAATGCAGATAAAACACTTCACGAACTTGATAGTATTATAAAAAAGCATAACGTTTCACTTACAAAACTGGAAACTTTCTTTAACATATCAGAAGATTCTGAATTAAACACAATTTGTCAAAATGTAAGTAGCACACACACACACACACATATGCTCGATATACTTTTTTTTACATCATGTAAATATATACGAATAATAATTACAATAATGGAGTGAAAAATCATTACTTTCTCAAGGAATAAATTCGAAAAAGATGAAAATTTTTGTAGACTTTAAATTTAGAAAATTTTACAAAAAAAGTTTTTTTTTTTTTTTTTTTTTTTTTAGGAAATTATTTATGAAGAAGATAATTCTGATTTCATTAAAAAAGAAGTAAATAGCATTTTAAACGATACCACAAACGATTACATTTTAAAAAGAAATGACAGTGATGAAAGCAGATTAAGTAATGTAATTAAAAAAAAAAAATCAAATGGTTCTATAAGTGCAGATGAAGCAATATCCATTGATGCATCTATATCTTTATGGCCAGGAGAAAATGAAAATGCACATGAAAAATTTCCGGAGAATCGCATGCTCAGTCTTTCTAAGAACAAAACAAAATTTTCATTTAAAGTATTAGAAAATAATAAAATTGATTCCCAGTCCGTAATGAAATCCATTGTTAAACCAGTTGATAATTTAAAGAAAATGCCATGTCCATTTTGTAATAAAATACTATCTAGAATGGATGAACACATTAGGCTTTTACACAGGAATAGAATTTACAAGTGTGGAAAAGAAGATTGTGGTGCAGAGTTTTTAACATTGAAAAATTTGCAATCACACCAGCTGAATTGCTACAATGTAAAAAAAGCATTTCAATGTACAAAATGTTTAAAAAGGTTTCATAGGAAAAGTAATTTCAAAGCTCATAGTAAAAGGCATTCTGACAAAAGAGATTTCCAGTGTTTATTATGCGAAAAAGCATTTGTAGACACAACAGGTTTAAAAAGACATTTTCTTAAACATCATGAACCGGAGCAAGAAGTGTTTGTGAGCGGTTGTTGTGGAAAAAATTTTAAATCTAAAGAAGGTCTAAAGAAACACATAGCAAAAAAAATATGCAAAATTAAAACTTGTTGATTTGGAAGTTGATTCACTTATGAAGAAGAATTAAATTTTGGAAAGTTGGTTTTTAATATTTGTTTGTTTGAAAACCTTCTTTTTTTTTTTTTTTATTAATGAAAAAAATTCATTACATTTAATAAATGTTTAATAATGATAATGTTTACAAAAGAAACAACTTTTGAAACATAATAAGTGATGCAATTAGTGAAAAATTCAAAAGAAATTTATAACTCAAGTATACGAGTTATTATAATTTATATTCACTGATGATACATATTAGAACCGATTACGTAAACGGAAATTTGATTTTTCAATTTTTTTTTATTTTTTTAATCATGTTTAAAAAGAAAAAAAAATTATTTTTTAGTGATGAAAATAAAGTTTATTTGTTATTATTTATATTTAAGTTTTGCATTTTTTTTTTTTTTTTTTTATAATTTATTTATTTAATTTATAGTAAAACAATGAAATATATTTAATTTTGACTCGCATATTGGATTCTTTTTTTATTTAAATTTAACACGTAAATAAATATTAAATGGTATATAACACTTGAGATTAATCCTGATCGGTTAAAATAATTTTTTTTTCTTTTAATGTTTCGAATTGATTCTCCCAAAATCGTTTTTAAAAAAAAGAAAAAAAGTTAAATGTTTACTACCTTTTTTTTTTTTTATTTTTATATTTCAATATTAAAGAATAAAAAAGTTTTATTCGAAGAAAATAAAAAGGGAAAAATAATTTAGCGTGCATTTCTTAAAATACTATACAAAAAAAAAAAAAAAAAAAATGTAATTTACTTACGCTACTCATGGATCACAGGTTTGAAAAATGCACTTGTCGCGTAATAAACATTGAATCAAGTTGATGACGCGTGCAAGCAGGTAGTAGTAGGCACTTTGTAAAATGTTAAAAATTATTCCGTGGTAGAATAAGTAACAAAAAACTGAAGGATGTGTTTGTTTTCCATTCGAATAAAAATGTGTGGATGCCACGAGAAAAATATTTTTTTTTGGCTCGATCTTTTCAAACCGAAAAGTGATAAAAAACATAATGATAATTTAAATGAATGCGAGATGAAGGGATTAAACGTAGATATAATATAAATATCCGAAACAATTAATCATCGAGATGTAAAAATTTTGCCTGTGTTTACTTTAGTAAAATCATTGAAACAATTAATACATTTTTTTTTTTTAATTAAATAAAATAAAATTTTTTTTTAAGAATGATTCTTTTCCAAAAGATTACATTTATACACTGATTTTATTTTATAATAAAATTATTATATTTACGTTGAATTTTATTTTCATCAAGCCTTTAAGTAAACAAATCGTACGCGAATAATAATAATAATAATAAAAACTGTCGGTTACGACAGTGGGTCCATGCACGAACTGTGCCAGCCAACAAACCGGAAATAATTCTGAAAAATGGTGTAAATTAATTGAAGTTTCCGTGCCGGCGGAAAAAAAAAAAAAACACCAAAGAAAGAGATTGTTGAAATAGCCAGGATGTGGGGAGGGAGTGAAGACAGAAACTATTCCGGTCACCGTGAGAGCAACATCGGGAACCACGCCACCCCCTCATTAAAAGGAAATCTGAACAAGATTTGACGGCCCACATTCTTCGGGATAATATAATAAAATAGCATCAACGATATTCGAAGGAATCGAGTAGAAGAAACCTGGAATAAATGTTGGAAAAAACTCGGACAAGTGCATGTAAAAGTGAAAATAATAATAACTACGGATTTATTTTGACTCGTATCAATAAAAGTGTCACAAGAAAATTTTTATTATTTTTACCCCCCGAATAATTGAAATATGATGACATTTTTTTAAACCCTTAATATTATTATTACTTTTTTTTTCTGTTTGTTGTTTATAGGGTAAATACTGAAATACTTCATTTGAAAAACCAAAATGTTTATTTATTTTTTAAAAAGGATTTTTTAACGATTTGATTTATTTTGAAAAATATTATAACGTTGAACGGTAAAAGTATTTATAAATATTTTTAATATTAAGAAAAAATAACAATTGGAAATCACCTGATTACAAATCACTTAAATTCCTACAGCAAAAACTTTAAAAAAAAGTAATTTTTTTTACCACTTTAAAAATAAAATAATTAATTGTTTAAATTTCGATCGATTATTTATTTATCTTCAAATTATTTCCATTAAAGGAAAAAAAAAAAAAAAAAAAAACATTAAAATAAACTTGTTCCCTAATTCTCTTTCTTTCTTTTTTTTTTTTTTATTAAATATATTTATATATATATAAATAAATGCACAAGACAAAATTTTAAAAGCAGGTGCGTAAAATTTCGGTTTGAAAATGAATTGATTTCGAGAAGAAAAAAAAAAAAAAAAATTTACTTTAAAAAGATCAGAGGAGACACGAGAGAAACACGCGGCATATTTTTTTTTTTTTTTTTTTTCACCTAAATTAATGCATAAACGGTAAGTATAAGAAATGATCTCGTTATGTTTATCTTACAAAAGAAATTCTTGTGTAAAGAAGAGAAGTGAGTTTTGTGATACATAAATCTTTAAAGAGGGTGAAGGTATAGAAGAAAAATATTCTTCCTATGTGCCATCTGTTCTGTGTTGTGTGGGAAATAAGTTCTCTCGGAGTTTCCCACGAAGAACCCCCTTTCGTGTTATGAGCGGTTCATCAAGTTTATCCCGCCTTCAAGTTAGTCTCGTGTTGAGCACACACCTGCCACGAGATATAGACTTTTGTTAACCAATTTCATTTGCCACATTAAATAATTAATTTCACTAATTATACGAGTGTTAATGGTAGTACTCCATGTTATTGTTTTTTTTTTTTTGTAAATACCACACGACATTACGTACGACATTGTAAAAAAAAAAAAATCAAATTCGAATAAATGTGCGAATAAAACCATGAATGAAATTTTTTTTTTTTTTTTTTTTAATAAAACGATAAACATGCCCCTATCAAAAAAACCTCGTTGCAAAAATGTGTGTATTTAAATTTTTTTATTTAATCATTATCATTATCATCATCATCATCATCATCATCATCATCATTATTATTATTATTATTATTATTTTTTTTAATGTATTCTTTCTTAGTATTTCAAATAAACATTATATATATTAAAAAAAAAAAAATTTTTACCGTAAAAAGATAACAGATGTTCGTTTAAAAAAACTTTTATACATATGTATATAAAATTCTTTTTATTTTTCTTCATACGAACACCCTTTAATAATTTAAAAAGACTCAAAACTTCATATGATTTAAAAAGGACTCACGCTTTTTTTTTTTTTTTTTTTTTTTTTTTTTTTTGGTAAAGGAAATTGAATAGCAACAACCCCCTCTGGTTTGGTATAAAAACTCGAACACACGACGAATTATAGATCAGTTCTGTTTGTTTGCTTCGATAGTACTTTTGGTTGTCGGAGAAGTGTTTGTTATTAAAAGTTAGCCGTTAAAAATAAAATTTGTGTTTTTTTTATATTTTTTTTTGTAAAATCTTACGTCAATTACGTGATCAATCATGGCAGCATGTCCGAAAAAGTTTTCCAAAGGAGTTAAAGCAAAATTTTTACTAGAAAGCATTTCGCATGTTGTAAAGGTGAGCATATATATATATAACACGATGATTTATAAATCATCATTACTTTTTTCTTTTTATTATCAGTTTTCGATTTTGCACTTGGCAAAAAGAAATTAATTTAATTTAATTTAATTTATTTTTAGAAAATCAAACCTGTAATCAAATCGCATTTGAAAAAACGTACCAACGCGATTACACCATCTTCATGTAATTACGATGTAACAACTCATTTTTCTAAAACAAATTCAACAGAATCTTATTTTTTCGATGATAATTTAAATTGTTGTGACGAAAGTGCCGATAATGCGATCAACGAACGATTGGAATCATTGGAAAATGAAAAAAACGAAAAATTGGAAAAGGAACAAATCCTGTTGTCTAAAATGGGAGAAGAAAAGGATTTTTTTTTACTATCCGAACTGGATAAAATTATGTCAAACGTTTCAAATAATTATAATAATAATAATCATTACACAAATAATAAATATGTCGGAGGATACGCAGAAATCGAAACAGTCCAACATTTTAGTGAAAATTCATATACGCACGATTACGGTCGCATCGGAATCTACTAAATAACCACGCAGAAATAATTTTTGTTTTTAATTATGGAAAGGATGGTTGGTGGTGGTGGTGATGATGATGATAATAGAAGAGCTTTATTCCACGAAAGAAAATCACTCACTTCAACGCGAGAGAGAGAGAAAGAAAGAAAAACGTTAAAACCAGTGTATCAAAATATAAAAACTATAATAAAATAACACAATCAATCAGCGTTTAAATGATCTCCTATTTGACGTTATATAAATATATCTATATATATATATATATATATATGTATGTGTGTGTGTGTAAAAGAAAAAAAATGTTTTTTTTTTTTTTTTTGTGTTTAAATTTTATTTATTTAGAATATGTAAAAATGTTTAAAAATTAGTTGTTATTATTATTATTATAAGTAACCCAAGTCTTTCAGTGGCGAATGCTGCAAAATTTGTCTTCCAATACATGTTATGTATTTTATAAAAAAAAATTAATTATAATAAAGTATTATTATTTTTTTATTCAAAAAAAACTTTATCATCATTTTTTTCATTTTAAATTAAATCCTATTGTTTCAAATATGTTTCCGACTGGAAAATAAAAAAAATATTTGTGTTTTACGGTCTTATCAAAAAGTAAAACTTTTTATCATGAAATTTTTGAAAACAAACACGCCTCAAACGTGTCACGTATATTTATTTATATTTATTAAATTTTGATATTTTTCTTATCATCCCACCATTTTACTAACAAAAGTTTCTTTTATATAATCCCGAGAAAAAAAAAAAAAAAAACAATTAACTGTATTAAATGGAGAAAAGAAAATCATCAAAATGTAATTATAATAATTTTTTTAGTTTTAAACGTTTTTTTTTTTTTCCCCTGGCTAAATGTGATAGATAACATGCATACATAATCTTTTATCAGTCGCGGATCGCTACTAGTTTTTTACAATAAAAAATAAATAAATATGTTTTTTTTTTGATCTGACTGAATATGAGCACAATTGGTCAATAGTTTTTTTTTTTATTAATCAACGATAATGTAAAATTTTTATTTTCGTTTGTTTGCTCTATCAAACATACTAAAAAAATATCAAAAGTCTTTTTTTTTTTACTTATTATTATATAATTCAATTAGAAAACAGCCAGTCAGGAAGAAATCGATTGTTTTTATATTTATTAAATGAGGCAAAAGTAAAAAAAAAAAAAAAAAATTAATTTTTTTTAAAAATAAGCGTCACGATTTGCTAAGTAAAATATCTACATAAGAAAAATTTCGAATAAATGAAATTATTACCACCGATAAATGTCATAATCAAAAATCAATCGGATGGATTTCCCGCGAAAACTTTTTTCCTCCTCGTCTTTAAAAAAGAAACCTGTAGTAGCAACTTTAGTAATACGTTATTATTATTTTTATTTTAAAATTGTTTTTCCGATTAACAAACTCTACGAATCAAATTGAATTTCAACGTAATATAATAATAATAATAATAATAATGAAAAACATGAAAATTAATACGAGAAGAGGAATTTGAAATGTCTTCACCATGCGGTAAAATTACGGACAGTTTTTTTTTTTTAAAAAGAAATTTTGAATAGGGAAATCATTAAAATGAATAACACAATAAAAATAGTTTTTAAAAGGGATGGAAACATCCTTATGTTTTAAAATCGTGAGAACTTGGGGAAGCTGCAAACAAACTCACCCGCAGTAACCCACACTACACCACCTGAAACCTATTCATCCTTCACAATTCTTTTTCTATGTTTCACTTACACACACGGGTTCCTAATTAATTCAACCAGGACCGCTTCTTTAAACCTTTTGTCATGTCGAATTCTTTTTTACTCTCAAATGTTTTTTTTTTTTTTTTTTGAATCCTAAAAAAAGGTATTTTATTTTTCATGTTATTAGGTGATAAACGACCTTTTTTCGATTCAAAATTTTTCCCTTTTCTTTCGCATAAAATAATTTTTTTTTTTTTTTTTTCCTTAAATATGCGTTGGATTTTATTTATTTATTTTTTAAGCGTACCATCGTTATTAAAAAAAAAAAAAAAAAAAAATTATTCATTCGAACTTAAAATAATAATAAATTAAATACCGATCCGATAAACTTTTGTTTTAAAATGTTGATTATTAAAATAAAAAATTAAATTATTCTTCAATGTATTTTTTTTTTTTAATACGTTTTTTAAATTTATATAAGTATTCATGTGTATGCACGTGTATGGGCACACGCGCGTGATTCATTGAAATCCATGTAAACAATGTAGAAATATGAGTATGTAAAAGTTTCTGGTGTTAAATATTTTGCCAAATAAAAAACTACACGTTTTTTTTTTTTTTTTTTTTAACTATTTTTCGATACATATTTATTGTTATAATTTTGTTATTTACTTTTTTTTATTAAGGGTCAAAAGAGCATTTAAATTTAATTTCACCACCACACGCGAGTTAGTAATTGACCGACTTTAGTCATGAATTTTTTTGACGACAGCTTTGGCATAACATCAATAATCATTCGAAACGTCAGAAAATATTTATGAATTCTTAAAAGACGAAATTTAACCGCGATTTTAAAATATTAATAATAATAATAAATTAATTTTCATCAACTTTGCTGCACGTATTATATGTTTACTAAAAATAAATAAATAAATTTTAATAGAAAAAAATACGAGACGGAGAATAAAAAAAATTTAATTTTGGAAAATATCAATATGCCTTTGATTAAATTTTCCTTAAGAAAAAGTAACGATTAAAAATCAGTATTAGAATCGAAAAAATTTATTTATTTATATATTTTTTTTTTTTTTACGAGGTCCGAACGATGCTGTCGCGTGCTACTACTTTAATACCTTTAGGCAAACAGTAAAAAAAAAAAAAAAAAAAAAAAAAAAAAGAAAAAGAAAAAGAAAAAAAAAATAAATGAAAACACAAATTAAAGAAAAATAGGCTAAGAAAGAATGAAGATTAGTATTCTCGAGCCTACGCGTGTTCAGCTGCCGCACACAGGTGGCAGGAGATTCATGGGAAAAGCGATCGTTGGCTTGTTCCCACGGCCAGGCTTGCTGCCTGCACTCTGCCGGGCGCACCTGGTTTCTCTATATATTACTTGATGCAACTACGTCAATGCGTTTATTTCCTATCAAATCCTCGTACGGATCGGACACATTTTTTAAAAACGTTCAAGTTTTATTATTATTATTATTATTATTATTATTAACGTGTACATCGAACGTTCGTCGATTTGTTAATCTTTATATACGTATATGTGGATATTTTTAGTGTTTTTTCGCAAAATTATTTTCTGCGTTTTTTAAAACGTCGTATTTTTCGTTACGTTTAAATATTTCGTTTTGTTTTGTTTTTTTATAGACGCTTAAATACTTTTTGTTTATTTTGAGTGAAAAAAAAAAAAAAGTTTTTTTTAAATATTTATATTTATCTCGGTTCACGATGTCTGCAGTCGAAATAGAACACATACAACCGATATCGAGAACTTATCAATACAGAAAGGTAAGAATCACAATTAATTATTATCAAAAATTGAATTCGAACGTTCATTTTAAATAATTACATTTACGTTCGTTCAAAATAAATTTTTAATTAAATAATAATAATTTTTTTTTTTTTTTTTTAAAGGTTATGAAACCCATGTTGGAAAGAAAAAGAAGGGCAAGAATTAATAGATGCCTGGACGAACTCAAAGAACTCATGGTCGCGGCTCTTCAAGCCGAAGGTGAAAACGTGAGCAAATTGGAAAAAGCGGATATATTAGAACTAACAGTCAGTCATTTGCACAAACTTCGGCGACAGCAAAGATTGGCATCGAATCCGGTGACGGATGCTGATCGTTTCAGAGCCGGTTTCACGCATTGTGCCACGGAAGTATCCCGATGTTTGGCGGCCACGCCGGGAATAGATATAAAACTGGGAACGAAATTAATGACGCATTTGGGTCACAGATTAAACGACATGGACAAAACGTCACCTTTGTCCGTTCGAGTGGGGCCCGCTTACACGCCTCCGGTGTCGCCGGTCACGTCAACAGAAGAAAATTCTTATTTAATGCCATTAACTCCAGCATCCTCCGCATCCTCTCATTCTCCGGTGTTGGATTATTCTTCGTCGAGCGGACTATTAAAAGTTGTGGAAATGCCGGCCATAATGAAACCGACCGATTCAATGTGGAGACCGTGGTAAAAAAAAAAAAAAAAAAACTCCGACGAATGCGGTCATCATCGCGATAATAAATAATTATATTTTTTTTTATTAGAGGATAAAACTTTAAAAGGACATTAACAGAATTCCCGATCGTCTTTCAAAAGAGTAAAATATTATATATATATATCTTTTAAGTGTATACGTCGTATTATTGTCTATTAACAAGGAGCTATTATAAAGAAAAACCACAATCGTAATTAAGTGAAAACACACAGTGGATGTGTGTACGATGGATGATTGGCGGTTTTTTTTTTTTTTTTTTGCAAAACGTATTGTAAATAATATTTATTGAAACATATAATGTGTTGAGTTTCATTAAATTTTTTTTATTTTTTTATTTTTATTATTGTAATAGAAAATTGAAAAAAATGATCTCAGTGTAATATTAATTATTTAGTTATTATAATTGAATTGAGTTTTTGTTTTCGAATCGTTCACCTGATTTTTATTACATCAGGTTATTATTATTATCTTGTCAAAAAAAAAAAAAAAAAAAAAAAACAAAAAATTTATTTTTAAGTAATTAAAAATAACTAAATGTTGAATAAATTTTTTTTTTTTTTTTTTTTTATACTTAGAGTAAATAAATATTTATTTAATTTCGTTTGTTAAAAATCTTATAATAATTATAACGTTGACTGTGATATTGAAAACTTAAATTTAAAATAAAAAGTCTGAATATAATGTTTAATTTAAAAAATTATTTTAGTATTATTATTATTATTAAATCACCTCACCTAACATTTTAACAATGATATTGATTTTCGATCGCAATCTGTCAAAAATTCATCGCACCACCACATTAACTCTCCTCTACCTGTGGCCCCAAAAAAACCAAAAAAGTTTTAAAATAAATTATAATAAACTTTATTATAATTAGTAACTGTCTTAAATTTAAGAGCTTTTGACTTTTCCGTTTTATTATTATTATTAATAAAAGACACATAAGAGCAAAGCAAAAACCTGTTAAAACGTTAATTTGTTTATTATCATTATTATTAAAGGCTTATTAATATTTATTTTATAAATTTTATATCCTTTTTTAAATTAACAAAGTTTTACAAAAAAACAAAGTAAACCAATATATATATATATATATATATATATATATATATATATATATATATATTCATTTTTTAAATCAACTCGAATAAATATATGAAGAGTTCGTTATTAAAATTATCGTATTTTTCATTTTAAATTCGTTATTATATGAGATAAAGATGATTCTCTGAGTTTTTTTTTTTTAACAGAAAACCCCCTCATCCAATACACCTGTTTCACTTTTTATTATATTTTTAAAATGATTGAACAATACAGTATATTTCCCCGTCGAATCCTAATAATAATAATAATAACAAATAGTCAAGTCGAGGACCTTTTCGGTGTTAACATTAAAAAAATTAATTAACTCTTTTTCCCGATTCCGTTGAATTATTTTAATAATAATGATTTCTTAATTTTAACTAAATTTGGATCGAAATTACTTTTTTTTAATAAAATCAATCGAAAAAAATCAAAGTGAAAATTTATTTGATAAAAGTCATTCAAAATCAAAGTCATAAAAAAAAAAAAAAAAAATCAAAATAAAATAATAATTTTTCCACTATTATCAGTCAATTAAAATAAGCGCGAGCAATAATAATAATAATAATAATAATAATCATTATTATGGTCGTCGTCGACTACCAAACAAAATTTCTCTCTATTCCTTAACAAAAGAAAAAAAAAAATTCACATATTTGTCAATTTTGTGCCTTTCGGGTAAAAGAAAAAAAAAAAAAAAAAAGAAAAATTTATGAAAAGTAACAAAAAAGGTATGGGCGCGTGTCTGTCGCGAGCTAATTACTCATGCCAAAATGCCGAATTCCATTCGGCTAAGGAAAAAAAAAAAATCGTATGTCGTGATTTTTTTTTTTTTTCGGTGTCAAATAAATTCCACGTGAACAAAAACCGATGGTAATTAGAGTGCAAATACACTCGTGTTGCAAACACATGACCATCACAGGTGGCGGCTACGGTGTGCCGCTACAATGCATGGGAACGTCAGCCAAACTATCTTTCCCACGACTCGACACGGGTCTTCGCATAACCGCAAATATTTTTTTTTAAGAAAACTATAAAACCCACCTGTTACATATGCGTTAAAAGGGATTTTCTTAAAATAAATCAATTGTTACTTCCACCGGTGTTGATTGAAGGGGAATACAATACATTTTCAACGAGAGGTTAGTTCTTTTAAACTTTTTCAATCGTTTGCTACCGTTTACAAATTGCTCCTTTTTTTACCCGTGCTTAGCTTTTCATTAAATAAAAAAATTTTTTTTTTTTTAAATGATAATTTACGTCAATTATTCTTACGTTGTTTTTGGACACCATCGAGAGCTGGCTGACTCTGTACGTCGGGGCCGACGTTTGTTAACAATCTCGCACAAATCTACGCACTTGCATTTAGCTACGTAAATAGTTAATTTTATCAGAACGGTGTCAATTAATTCAAAGATTTTATTATATCATTGCTAATTTTTATTTTTTTAATTTTTTTTACGATTAATTATTGAAAGAGTTGAAACAAAATTATATGTCGATGTTGTTGTTGTTGTTGTTTTTAAAATAAAAAAATTAGTGACTGTGTCAAGTGATTTTTATACGCGAAATTCGTTTAATTAATTAAAAAAATTAAAATGAGGTCCGACGGTAGATATACGATGAATCCCGAATTAGAAGATCAACCGATATCAAGAACGTATCAATACAGAAAGGTATGATTACATTTTAATAAAAAAAAAAATTAATTTATTTTAAAATAAATCCTTATTGAATTCGAATTATTTTATTGTAAAATATTCATATTTATATCCCTGCATGGGTAAACAAATCTATGAAATCAGATAAATTTTTTTTTTTTTTTTCATTCATTGACCCCCCCCCCTGAAAGTTGCATATATATATATATATATATATATATATATATATATATATATTTAAATAATTCTTTCGTAAAGAGGAAAAAATAAGTAGCTACGACGAGTGATCATTTTAGAACAAAAAAAAAAGATAGTTTTTATTTAATCAATATCAAACATTTGAATTAATAATTTTTTTTTTTTATTTTTAAAAAAAAAAAGGTCATGAAACCAATGTTGGAACGAAAAAGACGAGCCAGAATAAATCGTTGTTTGGACGAATTAAAGGAATTAATGGTGGCAGCACTTCAAGCAGAGGGAGAAAACGTGAGCAAATTGGAAAAAGCAGATATATTAGAATTAACTGTGAACCATTTACAAAAGCTTAGAAAACAGCACACTATGAACGTTAGCAGGGATACGTCTTATGCAGAACGATTCAGAGCTGGTTTCACACAGTGTGCAGCCGAAGTGTCCACGTATTTGGCTACTTTACCTATAGCCGCCGCCGTGGATCCCACGTCAACCTCTAAACTCCTACAGCATTTAGGAACGTGCATTCGAAAATTAGAATCATCCAACGTACATTTTGAAAAAAACGCGAGTTTCTCATCGCAATCATCTTGTGGATCTCAACAAAATTCTTATAATATTATACAAAAGCTCCAACATTCGACGCTTATACAGAATCACGATGATGTTGAAAATTCAGTTTGGCGCCCCTGGTGATATTCGTTTGTTATATTTTTTAATTGAAAACTATCGGGATTCAAGGTGTGCGTGATTCATGACATTATTTTTATTGTTTGTGTGCGGTTATCACAACACAAGGCGTTAACGTATTCATTCAAGTTTTATTTTATTTTACTAAAAGAAATGAAGTATGCGACCGTTATTTAGTGATTAATTCTCGTTAATTAAATTAATTTTTAATCAATTACAAATCGAAAAAGAAAAAAAAAAGTGTTTATTTTGAACAAGGATTAACTCTTTGTCACATTGTGAATTTTTTTTTTTTGGTGAATTATTATTATCGATGAGAATGATAAGGAATAATCGACACACACACACACACACAATTAATTAATTATAAATTGTAAATAATTATAAAAATTAAGTTTAAAAGTTTAAACGGTTCGTTTAGGTTTTTCGCGCGAATACAAAAAAAAAAACAAGAAACGTTTGTTTATTTATAGTTCGATTATGTTTAAATTTTTTTTTTTTTTGTTTCGTTAAAGGGATTTGTTATATAGTTATATATTAACAATATAATTTACCGTGAAAAAAATATTTTTAAATTATCAATTATTTGTTGATTAATTAATATTGTTTTTTATTCTAAAAATATTATTACTATCATTTATTATTATTATTATTATTATTATTACTATGTTATTATTGTACGATGTGTATAAGAGAAAATTGAAAAAAAAAAAAAAAGAATAATGATAATAAAAGTAAATATAAACGTTATATTTTTTATATTTTAAAAGTGACCATTAATTATTTTCTAATTAAAATTAAGGTATTTATTAAAAAAAAAAAAAAAAATTTCATGCTCTCATGCGGTTTTTTTTTTTATCGATGATAATCATGATAATAATAATTATCAAATTAACGATTTAAAAAAAAAAAAAATCTCTAATTAATGGCTATGGACCGTAGTGAAAGAAACTCGCACAAGTTTTCAAATTTTAATTTCATTCTAGAATGTCGTGGAAGTAAGAAAAGATGCGCTTAATAATTAAAAAAAAAAAAAAAATTCTTTTCCATCTCAAATTTACCAATAACAATAATAATGCAACTATGGTAGAAATAAATAAATAATTAATTAAATTATCGGAAATCGATTGCATGCTTTACGTTTATCAATATTACTATTATTATTATTATAATTTGTATCTTCGCGTAAAACATATGTGAAAAATGTTTTTTTTTTTTTTTTTCACCCACGATTATTATTTACGATATTAATTATTGAAATTGCGTATTGTTGCATTTTAAAAAGATTTTTTATTATTAAAAAAAAAAATTTTTTTCCTTTTTTTTTTTTGGGGGTTTTGTATTTCGATAGGAGATGTGCGTGTGCGTGTGCGTGTGCGTGCGTGTGTGTACTTGCTTAACGTCCACATTTTTACCTACGTCTTAAAGTGTGATTTTTATGGGCACGTGCGAGTAAAATAAAAATTTATAGATTTTACATAAGATAAATATTAGGCTCCCGTTTTTAAATGTAAAGATGAATATAATGGATTCAAAGAGAGGAATGATGAAGCTCAACACCTGCCAATTTTTCCCACGATCCGATCATCGACTATTGCACGTCATTCTAAGTTCACGGTTATACAACTTTTTTTTTTTTGTTTCTCTTAAGATGTCCATTTACACTTAATATTAAACAAAGTTTTTTTTTTTTTTTCCCTAAATAAATATGTATAAACAACTCAAATAAAATAAATCCAAATTCGTTCGTCGGTTAATTAAAAACATTAATAATAATAATAATGAATATTATCGCGTTGTCATAACATTGTTCGTGTAATATCATGTGCTCATATATGTACGTACGTGTTTGCGTACGGTAATAATAAGTAATAATTATAATAAAGTATTAAAATTACGTAAACGTATACATAATTTACTAGAAGAAGAAGTTAAAAAAAAGAAAAACTTTAATTTAACCTGAAAACAAAATGCAATTAAATAATAAAATCTTTGTATCTTCACAAAATTTATTAATACTGACAGCGGTTTTCAAAAAAAAATAAAAAATTTAAACAAACTGCCTTCTTAATAATAATTACGCGGTTAAATTTTTCTGGAACTCAAATCATTTCTACCATCTGTTAACATAGACCGTGAAAGAAATTTAAGATGACGGACTGACAATAAGGAAAACATGTGACGTCGGGGGTGATTTTATAAACACGAGATAAGTTGCGTGGCTGCCAGTGTTTTGGGAAGGAGTCGTATTCTATGTTCCCACGCTTATGCTACCCAAGGAGCTGAGCACACGTCGACCGTAAGAGGTCACGTGGATTGGTTTTTTCACTTTTGCATATTCCTATGCTGCTAATATATATATTTTTTTTTCCATCACGTTTTCACTTTTTTTAAATGTAAAATCGAATTCAAAAAAAAAAAAAAAAAAATCATTAAATATAAATATCGTCGCAAATTATACGCGATAAAATTAGATATTAAACGATGACGCGTAATAGTATACGTTTTTTTTGTTTTTTTTTTTATTTTCGTATTTCACATTTAGAAAAAAGTGTACGGCAATTTAAAAGTTATTGAATCGTAAACCGACGTATTTATTTTATCGCATGCACTTGTCGTTATCGAGAGTCTTTTGAAACTGATTCCTTCGAATTTAAATTTACTTAAAATCATTTTTTGATTTTTCTTTTTGCTCCCATCACGATAGAAATTATTTTATTATTATTAATACTGTCATTTATTAAGAAAATATTTACAATTATGGTAAAACATTGCCCAAAACTGAAAGGAATAAGTCGAATAAAATCTCAATTATTTTCTACATAAATTTGTGATACGAAACACATGTGGATGGATGCTTGGTATTATGCAGCAATGAATGGAGTTGGTAAAAATATGTGCGCGTGGCGCCCCGAAGGCGATGTGGCCACATCCCGCACTATACTATAACCACGAGTCGGACACTCGCCAAATAATTCATTAGATGTTAATTGTGTTTTCTCAAGTTTAGCTTACGGCAAAAAACGACAACATTTAATAATTATTATTATTATTATTTTCCCGTTCTGGTTTTGCCTTTAAGTAAACAAGATTGTTGGTAGTGTGAAGAAGAAAGTAATTACAATGCAGGATGTCCCAGATTTTATTCTTCCTTCGATTCGAAATCCGTATTTTTATTTCAAATAACATTATTGCGACCAATTATCTGCGTGACGTCTCGTCGTCGACCGATTCATTCGTCTTTATTATTATTATTATTATTATTATTTTTAATTAAAAAACGAAACTTGTAAACGACAAAATAAAATCGCCTACGTAAATATATACATATATATATAATTAATTTTTTTCCAATTCTATTTTCTTAATTTTAAAAAAATTAAAAAAAAAAAATAAAGTCAACGAGAATAGACGGTAATTAAAATGTTTTATGATTTTTGCTAAGAAAAAGTGAATCGACCGGGTTAATTGATTACTTATCAAAGACATTTAAGACAAATTGTCAAATACGTGTCCGAATAAAAAGTATTTGTCCCATGTCAAGCTTATGGTAAACGTTTAAATTTATATAAATTGATTTAATAGCAGACGACTCTGATCAATAATTTTACAAATAAATAATTAAATATTAAACTTACCTTAAGAAGTGCTCGTAATCGAGTTTGCCATCAATCATAATACAATCTTAATAAAGTTTCTTCGTCCTTGTCTCCTTTTTCCTCCTCCTCCTCTTCTTCTTCTTTTGCCACTTTTATGAGGTAACTAAAAAATAAAAAATAAAATGATGTCAATTAAAAAATAATTATACAAATTTTAAAAAAAATTCACAAAGTGGAGTTCAATAAGGGATTATTAAATCCTTTTTATTAAGTCTATTAATTTTTATGATTTGATTCGCCAGAATAACATTATTCTTATCACGATTTGCGAATGAAACTTTTTTTTTTTTTTAAATTCAAATATTTTTTCATATCGTTACGAATATAATTAATTATTAATAATAATATAATTTTACAAAATAAACTTTATTATTTCTCTTGCAATTCTCATTGTAATTTTTAAAAATAACAATTTACGTAAATGACACTAGAAAATCACTACATATCCGCTCACGGTTCAAGTAATTTGTCAAATAATACAAAAATTATTTTAAATAATAATAATAATAATAATAATAATAAATTTGTTTTTTTTTTATTGGTCGCCGGTTGATCAGTTAAAACTCAAAACAAACAATATAAAAATAAGTGATTTTACAATATTTATGTATAAAATTTTTTTTATTTTAAAATGAAAATTATTTTCTTTTTTTTAGGTAGAATTTATTTATAATTTTAAAATTATTATTATGTATATTAATGAAGTGAAACGAATGATGAGATCGTTTTGAACTTGAGTGTGTGTGTGTGTCACGAATGCGTGATTTCGAGGAGGGAAAAAAAAATTGGTATAAAAAAAATATTTAAAAAATACCTGTATGGTATTCAGGGGAAAAGAAAAAAAAAAAAATTAAACGAGTTTAAATAAAAAAATTTTGATTTTTCTTTTGTTATTATGAGGCATTTTATTATTTTTTTTTCTCGTCTTGTGTTTGTCGGAGCTTTTTCAATATTTATTCCAGGTTTCTATCCGATCCCAAAGGCTTTTTAATCTAAAAAAGTCTTCGTAAGTCTTCCCGAGTCCATCTTATTCGATGGGAACGAGTTATTTTCTAAATTGGGCTCCAATGGCTGACATCTATGGAGAAACGGCAGGAGGAGATAGAACAAGATTTGCCTTTCGGTTCTTTCTTTGTCTTGCTCTCATTGTGCTCTATTACAATTACGAATCAATTGTCGTATACTTAATAAATTTTTCCAATTTCATAATTTTCCCCCATGCATTTCATCCTCAATGTATGCAAACTATATACAAATTACAATTTTGAGTAATGTAGAAACAATTAAGACTTTTTCTGATGCTAAGATTAAGAGGGAATTATATGCTAAACATATGGCAAAATAAGG